TTCTGTTCCGGGAAATGTTAGACAGTATTATTTGCTCACAACTTTTTATTGCTACTCTCATCTTCCCTCCCATCTCCCTATTGCACTGGCCATGGTTGTGACAGCCCATGCAGGTGTGACTTGCTCCAGAGCTTTCAAAGTTCCCTGCGTGGTTGACTATCTCGCTCCAACTCCCACTATGCCTGGGGTTACCGTCATCCCCCAGGAGGGGGACATGCCATGGCCGGTACCTCCTTCTTCCTTTATCTAGAGTGAGAGTGTGGAGGACAGGCCCAAGTGGACCCCAACAAACCCAACTGGAGCCGCAGCAGCCCACAGAGCCAAATAGAGACACAGCAGCCAGAACCTTCTCCAAAATATAAGCAAGGGAGTGTTTGTAGGTGCAAATCACTGGCTTTTACAGGTGGATTTCCACCCCAAACCTAAATAGTGGAGGTTTGAATCATGGACTAACTCAGCCAGTAGACAATGCTAGTTTGTGCCAGCGGTGTAGCAGAGAATGTGGGAAATTTTCAGTTATAATTGGAAGGTACAGCTGGACGTATTTATGGGACATCTCTGAAGAGAAGAATGAAACATTTGGATTGCTAGTTGGGCTATGCACTTACAGTTACAAAAATAAAAAAATACATTCTGTGTACATAAAATTATGCTTCAATATTAATAGAAGACTTTCAGTGATAAAAATGTAGATTTATGATTTTGTGGGTGATGCAGATGAAAATGTCACGGTGAAACCAATGAGGACTGTGGGCCTCAAAGCTTCAGAGTATTTAGGCCTTAACTGACTTCTTGTAAAATAATGATAGAGCAGTTACATTTTCAAAGTCTATGTGTACTCTACTGAAAAGTATGTCTTTCATATGTAACCTCAGAGAATCATTTTAGCTGTCAAATATCATGTATATGAAGATTTGTTTTAAAATTATGTTGAAGCCGTGCAAGCAATAGGTGCTCAGGCTTGCTGGGAAGCAAAATTGCCTGAAAACTCTCCACAAATGGCACCGTCAAATTTCTGGCAGATAATGGGAGTGGTCTTGGATCATGCCTCAAAATAGAGGCAGTTGTACAATTATATAATGCATGCAAAATATAGACAATTACACAACTTATTGTGCCTTTAACATTTCTCAATAAAATGCCATTAAACATTATATTGCTGGGAAAAAAAATTGTCCCAAGTTGCTCTAAATCAGGACTCCTGCCGTAGCACCCTTGTGATCCTAATTGCAGAAAAGTGGCTCATAATATAGTTTTGCTTTAGATTTTGGAGAGAAGCATTTCATCTTCCTACAAGTATGACAGGAAAGTGAGCCAAGTCCTTGTCAAACAAACCCTACATCGCTGTCATTGCATCCGATGTTCGGCTTGTCACATTCCTAGAGAGCGCTGACCCCCTTCCTCCTCACACAGCGCTGTGAAAGCGATTTTGCAGGTACATGTCATCTCACCTCTTGATCCGCAGTGTGATTGTAATTGTAACCGTACATCCCCTAAGATGGGGACTAAGGGTGTGTGAGAAAACATGTGTCTTTTATGCCACCCTCTCCATACCGTCAGTATCACTAACCACGTCTAACACTGGCCAGGACTTGGACTGGCAATTTTGCAATCTGGTGTCTGAATGGGACTTTGCATGTGGCTGAACACTGCAGTGTGCATCTGTGTAGACGCGAGACTGTATAGCTGGGAATCCTTTCACAGTAACTGTGTACATACACTGGCTTTATGTGGATCTAAAAGCAAATGACTTCCAGCAAGGAAAAAAAATGTTGATAATAACTTAAAACAGGAAAACATCGAAACTTTTTGAACCTCATCCTAAGCCTCAGCCTCGTGATGTGCGTTGCACATCTACTTATGTTTGTACTCCTTAAAATAAGTACGTGAGATAGCTATCACAAGTTTGATTTTTTGAGATGAAGCAACTGCTTTCTGAAGATATTTAATAATTCCCCCAAGTACACAGCTTATAAGTGGTAGAACTTAGGGGTAAATAAAGTAAGATTTCAGAGTTGTTATTTGCAATAAACTGTGCTTAGCCTACAAAGACAGCAATGCAACACCGATTTCCAAATCTGCAGAAATCAGAGCCACCCAAATGGCTCTTACAGTTTTTTGCAATCTACATAGCCAGGGAAACATCTTTCTCAGGGGTGATTTTCAGTCTACAGCAAATGCACCCTTCCTAAGGGTCTAAATACGAGAAGACATTTTATTTGTATTAGGTGGTTTAGTGTTGGAGACACGGATAATAAGCCCAGGGAAGGCGAGGGGGAAGCTGTCACTGTTGATTTTTCAGAGGGGACATGGAGAGTGCGGTGTCAGCAGCTTGCGATAGCACACAGCGGAACGTAGATAGCATCTCCTAAGGTCAAGCTCTGAAAGTGACGGGAAAGCGGAGATGGAAGAGCCTGACGGTCAACGTGAGAGAACTTATTGCCTACTTCGCGTCGTTTTGTGATATGTTTCTTCTCCAGGTTGGCTTCATGGCACGGCATATTTAGAATTAAAATGCACTTTTCATAATTAAAAATTCAAGTAAAGAGCTCTCTAATTGCCTCCCAGGTTAATGTGAGTTTTAGTGGAATTATTTGATGAATGTTTGGCAATATTAATAAAAACCTCCCTTGCTCTTCTCTTTTCTATTGAGTATATCAGGTTATTAAATTCAGTTCAATGCTATGTGCAGAGACACTTCAATTTATCCACATGTTGTAGGGGGAATAACACTCTGAAATTATTTTTACTCTTTATATGTTGAGGATATAGCAATGACTACTGTTTTTCTGATGAATTTCCCAAATTCCTAAATTTCGAGGCTTCTTACTTTTTGATCTAATGTCAGTTTTTTCTTTTGTTTCCCTTTTATAAAGATTAGAGTTTATGTAAGAGTTTAGTGCTTATTTTTATGAATGAAATGTCTATTAGTCTGTCAACTCTGCATATATGAATGTCAGCAAAATATTTGTATCTTGAGCCATAAAACTTCAGTCCAAAAATGTTCATTTCTGTGTCTGGGCCACACGTTCCCTTTGGGGTCCTCTTTCTGCAATGATCATAATGCGATTCCCTCTGTGTCCTGCATCCCCTCCCCTTCTTTTCTGTACCACACACCACCATCTTGGTGAACTCCCTCACTTGGTGGTTAGTTTTACACCATTTTGTATAAAATGTAAAAACACCAATTGACAAGTCTGTTTATCCCTTCTGCTAAACTTCAAGTTGCAGTTTTGGATGTGTTATTTATCATATATTTTTAAAAATAGATTTCACTCTATCACTTTTTGCTTTAAATAATTCAAAGTATGTTTAAAATATAAGTAAACAGAAATGATCTTTTATGTCTACTACTCTGTTCTTTTTTCATTTCCTTCATTCTTATGAACTGAAGTTCACTCTTAAAGCATTTTTCTTTGGACAACAAAGGTTTCCTTTATAATTTACTTGAAATTGATGCTCTTAGTATTAAACTGCTCATTTTCCTTCACCTGAAAATGTCTTTACATTACCTTTATTCCTGGAAGTTGGCACATGTGTATAACACATGTTTGCTGCACATAGACTTTTCAATTGGCAGTTTTTATTTCAGCACATTAAAGATGTTTTTTCTTTCCTCCAGTCTTCTTGGGAATTAAATATTATTTCTCAGTATATAAAGTGTTATTTTTAAAAAATTTAATTGGTGATTTGAACAAGGCTTTGCAAGATTTTATTCTGAGATTTATTCAACAGTTTCAAATCTCAGGTTAGTATTCAAAGGCTTTTTTCTTCAGTTCCTGTTATCGAAGCTTCTTTACTGTTTTTTGAAATGACAGAGTATTACTAAGTTTCTAAATTTCCCAGGTTGCAATCAAACTTGTGATTCTCCTGCCTTATGGAGTGTAAAGATTACAGGTGTGTGTCACAGTGCCCTAGTGACTTTTCTACTTAGGGTTTAGTCTGTCCTGCAAATACATTATTAAGTGTTAGCCTAACATTTGAAGGATTGGCCCTACACACTCTGATAAGAATGAGCTATTTACTTTTCTACCCAGTTGTGTAATTAACTAGCATTTTAAGGTACAAATTAAATGGTAAACCAACGGAATTCCCATGAAAACAGGTCCCATGAAAATGCATTGTTTGATTAACAGCTTTCTTACAGGGTCTTACATCTATTACTGCATTAAAGATCCACTCTCATTAACTTGGGAAAAGATCAACAAGGCCCAGGCCCATTGCAGTGGTAGACAGAGGACTAAATTCTCAGAGGTGCAAGAGAAAGTTTGTATCTCTTTTGTCCTACAGAATAGGTCCATATTTCCCAAATCACCGTATTCTAGGATACAACTCCAAAATATTGAATTTAATTTTCAGGGTTAGGGGAGCTGGGCCAGCATAGGATCCAAAGTATTAATTTTTAGAAGAGATGCAGAGAAATATGACTTGTAGCTAACTTTGGAAATAACTTCTCTGGTGTACTTTCCGTCAGTAAAACTTGTAATTTGGGCCAAGTCAGGCTGAATTCTTCTCAAAAGTCCTGGATGTCACTCAGGATAACAGAGAAATCTGGTTAAAATGCTAGTAAGGCATCATAGGAAAGCATATTTCAGAGGATACCATATAGATTTCTGGAAATACATTAAAAAAGAAACCTTTAAAATATTAAATTAGCAAGGGAAATGTTGGCACTGCATAAAATTGGGACTTTTAATTTATTTTTTAATAATCTGTAAGAAATTATTTGTTTTAAAAATGTTTTATTTGCACATGCTTGCAGTATACAATGATAATATTCCCCATGGGGTGTTGGTTCATGTACACAGCACAGCTGAATTCTTTTCACCCCTTTCCCTCTTCTCCCTACTTGCTCCCCTTTTCCCTCTCTTTCCATCTATTGATCCCCTGTTCATTTGCAAAAGAACTATAGCCCTATTTTATATATTATTACTTTGCTCTTTCTTCATATTTTGAATTTCTATTATAAGAGAAACCACACCATATACACGCTTGTGTGTCTGATTTATTTCACTTAAAATTATGGTCTCAAAGTGCATCCATTTTCCTACAGAGGTAAGAGATTACCTCCATCACAAAGTGTGGAATCCAGTACTGTTTGAGAGTTGTGCAATCTTAATACATTATTTTTTGAGATGCTGTCCAAAAGCGATGTAGTTCCTGTTTGTTTAAATGGAGAGTGTAAGTTGTTAATTGAAAATGGAAATTCAAAATGGTGAATAGCTACCACAAAGCTATTGTCCTGTAATATTAGATACTATTGTGTCAAATAAACACTGAAGCATGCACATGCAATTTAATATGCTTTTCTAATTTTTCTAGTACTATGATAGAGAAAGTTGTTTGGAAAAGTTATAAAAACAAAAAAATGAGAATAGGGAGAAATATACTACCAAATTTTGAAAGTTATGAATGAAATAGATGAATGTTAACTGTTTTACCAGACTACAAATGTAAAAGCATCAGAATACTTGACTTTGCAGTACTTAGAAAGTGGCAGGTAGCTACCTCAGAAACCGGAGAATGAAGACAGGACCCGATACTGAGGACTATGTCAAAGCTTGTTCGAAACACTGAAATATCGGATCCATTGTGCTGAGCAGCTGCAATTTTCTACCGCAGGCTTCTCAGCAGCCGCATTTCCTGTCTCCCACTCAGATTTCTGGACCCTGTTTTCTGAGGAAAAGAAAAAAGACAATATAAACATCAAATTCTGAATTCCAGGATAGTATCCTCTTCCTTTTCTTAAATACTAGACTGACGGTGGTTCAGACCCTTACATACCGACAGGGTTAACTATAAATGCCCCTTCAGAGGGACCTGGCTAACTTGTGACAATTGAGCCAAACCACAGTCTAATTCTTTACTTTAAATTTGGAAGCTAAAAGTCATGAAAGCAAAACAATATATATATTGAATTCCAGGATAGTATCCTCTTCCTTTTCTTAAATACTAGACTGACGGTGGTTCAGACCCTTACATACCGACAGGGTTAACTATAAATGCCCCTTCAGAGGGACCTGGCTAACTTGTGACAATTGAGCCAAACCACAGTCTAATTCTTTACTTTAAATTTGGAAGCTAAAAGTCATGAAAGCAAAACAATATATATATATAAAAATGTACAAAAGAGTAAGATTTTTTTTTAGATTCATGGATTAACACAGGAGATAAAATTTAAGATTTTCATGCTTTTTCTAAAATTAAAATGAAAAGTTATTTTACAGCTAGTACATACTCCTTTAAACAAATAAAATATCTAAGAGTTTTGAAGGGAAAATGACTTTTAATGGTGAAAACTTGAATTATCTCTCTTTCAGATGTGAAACAAGGAATAATGTCATTTTCCTCCTCCTGTAATGTAGTTCTGAGCTACTGCAATAGGCAAAACAAAGAAAGAAGAGGAAATATGTTCATCATCCAAACCATTTTATCTAGGATAGCCCATAGATTTAAAGTATATGAAAATCAAATTAAAGGATAAGTTATTTGAAGTAGGGTCATAGGTCTTTGGCCATGGGAAGGGGGTCAGGAGACAGAGTGAGAGGGAGGAAGGGGAGGCAAAGGGATGCGGAGCGGAACTGAAATGTGTTTCGGACAAACTTACCACACGGAGTGCAATCTGTGCTCTAATAAAAATAAATGCTGAAAAGAGTACGACAAGGGAACTGATTTTTAAATGGGGCAAAAATTTTAGAAAGCTTTTTCACAAAACTAAAACCACAGATATTGATTATGCCAATTGTCCAATGAGCGCATAAAATATTCTGAACATAATTGTCCATCAGAGAAATTTAAACACAAAAACTCTACTCAGCCTTTAGAATAGCCCCAAATGAAAGATCCATTTTATTCAACCTTTGACGATAGGATAGAGAAACTAAAATTCTTATCCTCGGTTGGGAGTATAAATGTCACAATTTGTTTAAAACATGTTTTGGCAGTTCCTTATAACTAGTAATGAGCCAGCGATCACTTTACCCAGTATTTACCCACATACGTTGACCTGAGAGAATCAAAAACTATATTCTATACCAAAACATTTTGTTAATACCCTAGCATGTTTTTCTGCTGGAATCTGAGTTCAGCCCATGGGTTCCCGGCTAGTGTTGCCTCTCTGGAACTCGGGTACCGTGCAGATCCCTGAAGAAGTCAAAGGTTTCCTAACTAAAAAGGCGGGAGTGGTGAGTGGGAGGTGGAAGCTACACACACGCTCACAGCAGTGTTTACTTTGTTATAATTAAAAATTGCAAACACAAGAGTCTATCAACAAATGAGTGAATAAAATATTGTCGCCTATCAATGCACCTGTACAGCGGTGCATCACTGAACAATAAAGATAAGTTCTCATTGAGGAACAGTAACACAGATGACTCTCAAGATCATTAGCAGCATGAAATAAGTCAATGGCAAAAGCTATGCATTTTATGTTTCAATGAATACAAAACTCTAAATTATAAAAAATTTCAAAATGAAGCCAAGGATTAGCAGAGTTAGGATAAAAGAATGAACATTTTATAAAAAGGGCATGAGGAAATTACTACAAGTAGTAGAAATACTTATCATCCTGTTAGGGAAATAATTTTTAAGTGTGTACATATGTCAAAACTGATACAATTATACCTAATAAATATTGTAATTAAACTGTGATACCATAATATTTCCTTTTGAATTTCAAATTTCTTTGCATTTTCTTTATTTGGACTTTCATTAATGAACAATTGATTTAAAAAAATTAGTCCTACCAGGAGTTTTGGTGCAGTGCTGTAACAGCAGTTATTAAAAAGGCTGAAGAAAGAGGATTACAAATTCAAGGCCAGCCTGGGCAACTCAGTGAGACCCTATTTCAAAGTAAAAACTTAAAAAAGGGCTAGTGAAGTAGCCCAGCACTCCCTAAATTCAATCCCCAGTACAGAAATGAAGCACAATGACAAAGATGAATGAAAAAATAAAGAGAGAAAGGGAGAGAGAAGGAAGGAAAGAGACAGAAAGAAAGAAAGAAAGAAAGAAAGAAAGAAAGAAAGAAAGAAAGAAAGAAAGGGAGAAAGAACGGGAGGTGGGAGGCTACTGGGGATTTGGCTCAGTGGCCTTGTGTAAGGTCCTGAGTTTGATCCCTGGTACTGAGAAAAAAGAAATGAAAAAAGCCCAATGTCTAAACTTTGCTGAATTGTGCAAAAATCTATAATTTTGCTTGAAGTAACTCCACTGCATAAAATCCCTGGAAGAGTGGTTATTTAAAAGTGAAAGAGAAATCAATCAAAAACATAACAAAATAAAATTTCTATACTATACAGTACTCTTACGTTTAGCTTCCCCTTTAGAGAACTGTACCTAGCAGTACATTTGCATGGTGTGTAACAGTGCTCATTTTCCTGTTTTCTCAAAATGGTCTGGTACCCTAGGGCTCCACCATGAGAAACAGCTCCTATCTGTGTACTGAAGAAGCTATGCACCTTCGTTAGCAGTGCAAAGGCTGAAATTCCATGCTGTGAATAAACAGATGACACTGGAGTGAGGACATTTGGAGCTGTACCCGAGCTCAGGGCCACCTCCCACACTTGTGGATAATCAATTATTCTTTTTTTAAAAAAGTACTCTTTCCTCAGGTCAGACATTATAATATGCAATTATGCAATATAATTTATATGTTTGGAGCACACTTTTTTTTAACACAATATGAGACTGAGAGGATTCACTAACTGAATTGTGTTAAATGCAAAGGACAATTTACGGATTAAAGGCAGCAGCTAATGTGTTGAGGGTTTTGTGATTCATTACTCCCTCAAACTTTGTTTTCTTTAGAAGCAGAAGTCAATGGGGTTTTAGTCCAAAAGTATTTCAATTAAAATACCTATGAAAAATGTCATGCATATCCTCATGTGTTTTAGTATGCATGATTCTTAATTTTTACATAAAACAAATCTGTTTTCCTAAAAATTTAAATATATATTGAATAATGTTATAATGCTAAATGGAAACAAAATTGGCTTCCTATGTGATTCTGAACACTGCTTAAAGCCACACAGTAATGAATGTATATATTACAAGTATACAAGAAGCAGGGATATATTTCTAATTTATAATTGGAATAATCCTCTCCTAAAGGAAGAACTGAAGTCCACACTGCACCCTTCACCTTTATTTCTCCTGTAACACTTCTAAACAGAACAAATAAGTTTTTAGAATACTCCCATCTCCTTTTTTTTTTGAACCATTCTTTTTATTACCTTGCAGGCTTTTCTATACAGTTTAACAAGTTGAACACTTTACCCAAGCAAGTTCATGAACAGTGTGGCTTTATAAAATTAAATCCCATAAAAAGGACAAAACAAAGGAAAAACAATGTTGCATTCATTTGTATCTAGGGATTTGAAATTAATGCTATTAAAAAAAAAAGAATTTCGTACCTCATGAGGTAAAATATAAAGTTCGTTAGCAAAAACTGTCAGGAGTCAAAGTTGAAAACATTTGAACATCTTTAAGAAAGTAGCATGAATAGCTCTGTATGTCCTGGAGAATTTATTAAAGTTACTAACTATGGATGCTCTGAGGAAAAGCAGGACAATATACAACTGAAACACTGTATCTTTTTTTTCAGCTTTAATTGAGTTTATTGGTACATTTTAGGTATACAGTACAGTTACATTCATTGTTGGGATCATGTACCTCTACATGACAAGTCTTGATTCTCATTTTTTCCCCTTACCCCTGCCCTCCCTTCACCCCCTCCTCCCCTCCCCATCTACAAACACTTTATTTTCATCTTTTCATTATCTCACATTTTTTTCTTTTCCCTTATTACCCTTTCCCTACCCATCCCACCTTCCCTACACCTTTAGCTCCTTTCTTCCCATTTCTAAATGTCAGTAATCTTATTAGGATCTTATGTATTATTGCAGATTATTCACACCAGGGAA